AGTTTTAACATATAAGTTTTAACTTATCTGTAATCCTTATGAAGAAGTCTCTTCTTTCTTCTCTCGTCCATTCTTTTTTCTTTATTTCATTTTCAATTAATCTCTTAAATAAATCTCTTCAATGTACGAAGCTATCAAATCTCTTTAATGATAGCCACTCATAAAGCTCACGAAATTAGCGCAACAAGAGAACCAATCGGCATCGCGGAAGTGAGATCTTCTTTTAGACGATTCTTTCCTTTTCATTAAAAATATTTTCAACGCTTTTTTAATATTTTTTCTTATACGCTCTCCCATGACAAGAGCTGTCATCGCCGCGAAATTGAAGCGATCTCAATCGTCAACATCGACCGGCCATCAGCATCATGGAAAAAAGGCAACAATGCCTTCGATATTCGACCGCGAACGTGTACTTCTCGCGTCTATACGGATTTTTTTATTAAGGATTTATTATTGTAACTTTTTCATAAAGCAACCAATACAATAACTGATTTTTATAAATTTTTTGTCACTGGAAACGAATTTGCAAACGAAATTACCCTGTCATATTATATTTTTGAGCTATTTTAATTCAAAAGTATCAAAAAATGTAATTTTTGGTTTTAATCAAACATACCTTTAAGGTGATGCTAAACTTGTCTTTATTACTGACGTTGTATTACTGACAAAACGTAATAATTTTTGCGCAATAATTATTGCTCTCATTTTTTATTAACTTTATAGATCTGGAAATGTTTTTCCACAATTAAAGTTTATGCATTAATATGTGTTCAGCATATGAGTTTCGTCAAGAAGGAGAAAAAAATTTAGATTTTTTTTTACTATTTAACCTTAAAATGGCGTCCAAAGCTGCGTCAAATTGCGTAAATATTTGCTTTATATGAAATTTTTACAGCTTGTATCTACAAAACTGATATTACTAGACTAGAAGGTTACATGAAGAAGCAACGTTAAGTTCTTAGAATTAGATTTAGACACTTATTATGAATAGAGGAGTATCACAAAAATTTGTTCATATGTATATCATGTGTGTACAGAAATGTATGTATGAGTGTATGTATGTATACATAAATGTATCTATGTATGTGTAGATGTACATATGTGAACGTTTTCGTCGGAGTTCGCTCGTCAGTTTAACATCCCCTTAAAACCAATTTTCTTAAAAATATGTTTGAACATTTCCATTTTCGGATTTGTTTTCAGTGACAAGAAATCTATAAGAATCACTTTTTAGTATTTTTTATAACTATTTTTTATAATTTAAAATCCAAAAAGTATAATTACATTTTACTATAAAATCTTTTTCTACAAATATTCATAGAACGAATATTTGTAATTATATTATAAATTTTGTAATTATATTTGTAATTATATTATAATTTTTTTTATTATATTATAAATTTTGACAGAGAAAATAATAGAACATTTGTTCTGAATAATATGGTTGGAATGATTCAAAGACCCTGGACACCCACGAAAAGACGAGGCGCAATTGCAGCAGAATATAACAGCCCAGGACCAGCCTGTGTAACTTTACCGTCGTTAATAGGTAAATGTATATCTATTTTTACAAAAAAAAAATTATTAAGCAGTAAAATGCTTTTCTTTGCTTTAGTTTAATTTATAATAGTATTACAATTAGAAATTCATATTATATTACATACATTATTCACATTCAGAAGTATATTGTATCTTATTTTGTCTTTTCTACATTAATATTTTACAAATACAATTATATTTACAATTAAAATACAATTAAATATTTACGTTTATAATTGTAATTTTATATTGTTATGTACTTATAACAATATAAAAATATAATTATGTGAATATATTATTACAATAATCTTGTTTATATTCCTTAGATTTATTTATTAAAGTTTGTTAATTTTCTGAAAGTAAAACTTGATAATAAGCTATGTTTAAAATTAAATGAAATTCATTTATAGAGCCGTTATTGATTGCATATAGCTCATAAATTATAAATAAATAATAATTAGAATGCAAATGATAATTTTATGCAATATATTAATTAAGTTCTGCATTTTATCACAAATCAATGACAATAATTTGGAATATTTTTTAAAAAAGCATAATAATTAAAAGAAACTTTCTTTTTATCGCTAGAATTGATTCGTGATAAATTATCATTTGCATTCTGATTATTATTCATTTATAATTTGCGAGTTGTATGCAATCAATAACGGCTCTATAATTAACAATAGATTCTTTTTTATAATATTTTTAATAACAATTATATAATATAAAATCTGTTATAGAAGAAAATTTTGTCATATTTGCAGGAAAAACAGTTATAGATTCTAAACAAGAAAGAGCACCAGCATTCTCTTTTGGTAACAGGTAAAACTGATAATTTAATGATCACTTCTTATTTCATAAATTATTTTACACCTTAATATCTAAATTTTACATTTTAATACTGATGTATCATATTCAAAAGAAAAACTTGTTTCTGATTTTATTTTACAAATTTAAAGTGTGATTCATGATTCTTTAGTTTCGGCAAATAATATGTGACTCAAATTTAATCTTACATATTATAAATTTTCTAGACATACAATGAAAAATAACAATCCTGGACCTGGTCCTGGGCAATATAATGTTTCTGGACTTAGCGCCAAAGGTATGAGATACATAAAATATTTGAATAAAATTTTGCATAATATTTCTTAAAATTTTTTATTTACAACTTTTCTTAATTATTCCTACAAGCCAAATATTCGCAGTATCAGCATGCTCGATCAAAACATATCAATAGATTGACATCAATTTCATCTACATTTAACTTGTATTCTGCTGATAGATTTTACTCAGATAATAGATATAACCAGATAATAGATTGATGGCAAAATTCAATTTTGTTGTTTCGCAGTTATTTCGTGACATTTCGTGATTGATATGAAAAAGACCTTCACAATGATGTTTCTTAAATTTTTTTTAATTTCTTGTTTTGAAAGATTAATTTTAAACTGTTTTATTAACAAAGAAATTATAACATATTCTTTATTAAAGAAGTTTCACATTATATTTTTATTGTATTATTGTATTATTGTAGATTTTGTGTGTGTGTGTG